GAGTAATAAAACATGTATAATTATGAAATATGACCTATTAATGCATTGACCACGGAGTGCACAAAGGGACCCTGTCAAATCAGTTACAGGTGGGCCGTTACTTTGCCCACCTTCAACTTATTTGACAGAGGCCCTATAGGACAGTGGTTTTATGTGGTCAAACCTACTGTACACAACTCAGGGGACACACCACAACACACTCATGTACATTACAGCCAATAATTGTGCATAGTGTTAGACATTTTCAGCCGGTGAATCCCTGTAAGGAATTGGGGATTTCAGCATATGTGCTGAAGGCCAGTGTGTAACTTATCAAGCTACAGGTGGGATGCCGAATTTGACCGGATGTATCTCGGGAGCTAAGGGGCCCTGTCAAACAAGTTACAAGTGGGACCTGACACCTGTAACTTATTTGACAGGGCCCCTTTGTTTACTCCGTGGACATGCCCATTTAAGGCTAATAATGCATAATTGTGAACTCTAAAGTACCCCAATGTGTTGGATTGTATTCCCTGTGCACTGTACTCTATTTTTAAGTAATAAAAACATTAAAAATCACGAATTATGACCTATTAATGCATTGACCACGGAGTGCACAAAGGGGCCCTGTCAAATAAGTTACAGTTGGTATGTTTTTTTATATTTTGAGGTCATGGTTGATAAAAATGAATAAAATTGATTAAATATCAATTTTAGGTTCATCTGTGGGCCCCCCTGAGCGATTTGCAGCCTTCAGAACCCAGAAATTCCACTGTCCATGAACAGCCTGAATTTTTGAATGGTATAAGTTGCAGGTGGAACGTCCAGATCTCAGCCTCTGGACAGAATTGGGAGCTGAAACCTGCACTCCTGCCCTTGTCTGGACGTGCCCCGACAGTGCTGTGCATTTCAGGGAGTTTGGAGAAACTTGAAAATCTGACTGAAAAATTCTCCAAGGGATACATACCCCTTTGAGATTTTTTGGGTCGAATTTTCAAGTTTCTCCAATCTCTTTGAAATTCACACCAGGGACAGGGCGTGCCCAGATGAGCACAGGAGTGCAGGTTTCATCTCCAAATTCTGTCCAGAGGCTGAGATCTGGACGTTCCACCTGCAACTTATACCATTCAAAAATTCAGGCTGTTCATGGACAGTGGGATTTCTGGGTTCTGAAGGCTGCTAATTGCTCAGGGGGGCCCAAAGATGAACCTAAAATTGATATTTAATCAATTTTATTCATTTTTATCAACCATGACCTCAAAATATAAAAAAACATACCAACTGTAACTTATTTGACAGGGCCCCTTTGTGCACTCCGTGGACATGTCGTTTTAAGGCTTATAATGCATAATTATGAACTGTAAAGTACCCCAACATGTTGGATTGTCTTCCCTGTGCACTGTACTGGCTGTTTAGAGTAATAAAACATTTATAATTACGAAACATGACCTATTAATGCATTGACCACGGAGTGCACAAAGGGGCCCTGTCGAATAAGTTACAGGTGGGCAAAGTAAGGGCCCACCTGTAACTTGTTCGACAGGGCCCCTTTGTGCACTCCGTGGACATGTCCATTTAAGTCTAATAATGCATAATTGTGAACTGTAAAGTACCCCAACATGTTGGATTGTCTTCCCTGTGCACTGTACTGGCTGTTTAGAGTAATAAAACATGTATAATTATGAAATATGACCTATTAATGCATTGACCACGGAGTGCACAAAGGGACCCTGTCAAATCAGTTACAGGTGGGCCCTTACTTTGCCCACCTTCAACTTATTTGACAGAGGCCCTATAGGACAGTGGTTTTATGTGGTCAAACCTACTGTACACAACTCAGGGGACACACCACAACACACTCATGTACATTACAGCCAATAATTGTGCATAGTGTTAGACATTTTCAGCCGGTGAATCCCTGTAAGGAATTGGGGATTTCAGCATATGTGCTGAAGGCCAGTGTGTAACTTATCAAGCTACAGGTGGGATGCCGAATTTGACCGGATGTATCTCGGGAGCTAAGCCGACTTGGGGCTCCATACTCTGGCCCGGAGTTTGGAGCTCCAACTCGGCTTGGTTCCCGAGATACACCCGGTGGTGGTGGTGGTGGACGAACAGGCCGTTCGTTGTCACACAGGTGGTCAGGGGGACGAATGAGCTGTTCGTGTCAGTGGGTGGGGCCCCGGGCCGTCTCTTAGATTGCCCGTTGGCCAACAGGCCGTTCGCTGTCACACAGGAGGTCAGGGGGACGAATGAGCTGTTCGTGTCAGTGGGCTGGGCCCCGGGCCGTCTCTTAGATTGCCCGTGGGCGAACAGGCCGTTCGCTGTCACACAGGCGGTCAGGGGGACGAATAGGCTGTTTGTGTCAGTGGGCGGGGCCCCGGGCCGTCTCTTAGATTGCCCGTGGGCGAACAGGCCGTTCGTTGTCACACAGGCGGTCAGGGGGACGAATGAGCTGTTCGTGTCAGTGGGCGGGGCCCCGGGCCGTCTCTTAGATTGCCCGTGGGCGAACAGGCCGTTCGCTGTCACACAGGCGGTCAGGGGGACGAATGAGCTGTTTGTGTCAGTGGGCGGGGCCCCGGGCCGTCTCTTAGATTGCCCGTGGGCGAACAGGCCGTTCGTTGTCACACAGGTGGTCAGGGGGACGAATGAGCTGTTCGTGTCAGTGGGCGGGGCCCCGGGCCGTCTCTTAGATTGCCCGTGGGCGAACAGGCCGTTCGCTGTCACACAGGCGGTCAGGGGGACGAATGAGCTGTTCGTGTCAGTGGGCGGGGCCCCGGGCCGTCTCTTAGATTGCCCGTGGGCGAACAGGCCGTTTGCTGTCACAAAGGCGGTCAGGGGGACGAATAGGCTGTTTGTGTCAGTGGGCGTGGTCAGGGGGCGGTCACAGGCTGTCTTTGGGACGAAAGGGCGCTCAGTGGACGGTGGGTGTGGTCAGGGAATTTCCCGAAAAGGCGGTCAGGGGTAGGCGCGTGCGCTCCGTGGGCGCCCGCCTGCAACCTGTTCGGCGCGCGTCGAAACGACTGCAGGCGGTCGGCGAGTCGCCCCCCTGTGGCCGATGCCCGTATTGCGAGCGAGGGGGCCGAATTTCGTCGGGCTCCCGCGGGGCCCCCGAGGCCCCCCGGCCCGAGGCGACGCCTCCGGCCCGCCCCGTCGGTCCCCCCCTGCGGCCGGGCGCGGTCGGCCGGCCCCCGAAAAATCATCTAGGGGGCGGCGCGCAGCGTTCCGCTGACCTCCTATCACGGACTACCTTTTAAGCAGCTCGCGGACCGCTGGCCTAACGTGACGGCCTAAAGAGAGTAAGGGATTCAAAGATAAAAGAGCTTGGTAACATCAACTGTTGAGACAAGTTGTTTCAGAAGCAAAAGCCAGAACATTTTAATGAAAAGCTGAAGACAATTTTTTTATTATTATTATTATTTGGAAGGTGTGCTCATGAATTATGCACAATGAAAATGTGTATTTAAGATCTGCTTATCTTACATCCTTACATAACATCACTTGAAAAACTAAGGGGAAGTACATTTTATTTAGCATTTAAGGTAAAGATGATGACATCAGATAAATGATTCAGTTAAGTAAAGAGTTTAGGATCATGCCAGTCCTGTTCTCTTTATTGTAAGTCAGATGAGTCAGATTACTGAGATAGTTCATCATTTACTCACTATTGTTCTAATGCTGTATGTCCCTTTTTCTATTTTGGACCACAAAAGAAGAAATTAAAATAAAACGTCCCACTCCTGCTCGTCCATATAATGGCATTGAATAGCGACCAGTATCAAGCTTTAAAAAAGATGCCAAAGTATCATAAAATGTCAAATTTTTCTTAGTCTTGTCTTCTCACAACTTGTGTGTTTTTCCTGGGTGAGTCGGAGTGAACCGCAGCGCTAATGGAGTCTCCTGAACGCAGTCGAGCACAGAAGATCAAAGGCCAAGGGCAGGATAGTACATTCAATTTTGGTTTCTTCTCCACTAAACCCTATCGTATAACCCCAGAACACATTGATTATTAGACATGTGTCACACATGTTATCATTCTGCATTCTGATACTTCTGTGTCTTTTTTAAAAGTTTGATGCTGGTCGTTATTCACTGCCATTATATAGATGAACGCAAGTGGGACATTTTTAACAGATTCCCCTTTATGTTCATTACAACACCAGGGTGAGTAAATGATGAATTAATGATCAATTTAGGGTGAACTATCCTTTTGAGACATAAATGGGACGATTTTTGCTTAATTCTGACTTTATTGCAAAATTGGATTAAAAATATTTTAAAAAATTTAAATTTATTTTGGCAATTACTGGACAATATCTTTTGGATATTAGGTAATGTTACAACATAAAAGGGTAACACACATTTCTGCTTTTAAATGCTTACTGCCCACTTTTGCATACATTTAAAGAGAGAAATGATATACTTTAAAATAATTTACTTTGTGTGAAAACTAAATGTTATGTTTTTGGACACTTAACTGCATGTTAATTGCAATTAGATTAAAACATATTATAGTTTAAATGTATATTAGTTGCAACTTTAGAGTGCTTTTTGATCCAGTTAAGTAAGAACATCGTTATATGTAATTTCATAATTACACCTCTTCTGTTGTCTTTGAAACATTGTTAAAGGATTTGAGGTAAAATACGATATACTTTGTAATTTCTATTGAAACTTGTATGTGATGTATTTAAGTATATTTGTAATTACATTTCTAAATAACACACTACAGTTAAAATTGTAATCAAGCACTCTACATGTGCTTTAGACTTACAAACTACACTGTTTAAAAAAGTACTTAAGTGTGTCATGAAAGTGTACACTTAAGCGTTTTTTATATAATTAATATATAGTATACTACAATTGCATATTAAATACAATTCTTTTTTTGCGTTGGTGTTCACCTAGACTTCCATTAGATGTAATTTAAGCGTAGTTTTACAATATAAAGGATGTCAAAAGGATTTTCTGTAGTTATCAACAGCATATTCCTCCTAAATCTCAGTCTGATCTCTCCTCAGTTTGTTCCTTTCCGAGACTACATTGATCGCAGAGGGAATCACATTCTCAGCATGGCCCGTCTGGCCAAGGACGTTCTTGCGGAAATCCCAGACCAGTTCCTCCAGTACACGAGGAGCAGAGGCATCAAACCTCAGCACTCGACACACTCCACCTCGTCCAAACCCCCGTCGACACTCGTGCACCCGCTGCAGACGCAGATCTGAGTGATCGCACAAACATACGGTTCACTGTCACTCTCAGGATCACACACGGCCTGTCTGAGTGAGACGCTGCTCTTGCACATGCTGTCTTTCAGTATGTAGGGTGACGTTAGGGAACTTTACGCCCGGCACTGTCCTTTGTCGGGTGTACTGAGGTTTCGGAAGGTGTTTTAGACTGTTTTAAAGTATCGAGTGGCCTCTTCTGTCAGTCAAACATCAGATATGACTCCACAGTCTCTGTCTCTCACATATTATTTCCGGATCTTGTGTCTGACAAACTTCAACAGACGTTTACAATTGTACCGTTTTTTACAAATGGATGTTTTTTTGTACCTCATGAAAACTCTGAGCTGCTTAACAATGGAATTTACTCATTTTATTACATGACGTTGTAAATAGAGCGAGTGTGATTTTAGAAAAAGCATGAATCCACCCTTGGTACAAAACTTTCACCCACTTGTGCGAGGCCTTGGTTTTCATTTCATTGTACAGTATTCGCTTTAAATTATTTTACTATTTCGGTATTCCGTATTCTTGGTCATTTGACTGCCTCAAACTGTAAAGAATTTGTGCTTAGCTTTCACGGCACAAGCACAGCACAGAGATTTAACTGGAAAAGCCTTACTCTACGTTAAAGGAACCGTTCAGCCAAAATGAAAATTGTGTCATGATTTACTCAGCCCCAAAGCATTCCAAACATGTAAGATTTGGATTTATAACATAATTATTACACATTTTAATAGTGATATTTATTTAATTAAATGCTGTGTGGCAGTAATGTCAGTCATCGAGCAATTCCACAACATGTAGTTTATGGTCATGGAAAGAGAAATATTTAACTGAGAAGGTTAGTTTATGATTATACAATAACAAAAATAAGCATTAGAGTCCAAGAACAAAGTAAGAATCAGTCATAAACTTTTCCCTCTTTTCCTCATTTTAAAATAATTATCTAATAGCGAAAAACATAACGTCCACCCTGTTGTGCCAATTTATACTGGACTTGAAATTATATATCCACATTCTTCCTAAATGTAAATCTTCTGCTAGCATGTTGTCATGTCCTAGCTAAAAATGGGCTTTATTAGCTTAAAACATCCACCCTGTTAAACATTACACATAAAACTGGATAGACAGATTTCATAGAATTATAAAAAATTGAAATATTTGGTCGGAATTAGTAGGTGATACTGGCCTGAGCTTGACCCGTGTGTTTTTTATGATAGACAGACATTTTCACATTTTAACACATACCTGGTCACCCCAAAATCCACAAAACTGTAGGAATGACCCTTTTATTAGGTTGTCACAAAAAAACCTCTCTGCAATGTTCTTGAACTAAAAATAAAAACCTAAAATGAATGTTCTTAGAACGTAAGGAATAACGGGAACCATTCACCAACATTAGGGGAATGTTCTGTGTATGCTGAACATAGTGATTACACTGGGTCTGTTTCTCACACAAAGCTTCAGAAGCTTTGGATTGGACTGTTTAGGGAGCTTAACAGCTCTGGTCCCCACTTACTTCACTTGTATGGATAAGAACAGCATTAACATTGTACTAAATGTCTCTTTTTCCACTTACAAAAGAACATCAAATGTGTTTGGCATTATATGAGACTGAGTAAATGTCTAAATTTTCAGTTTTGGTTGAACTATTTCTGTAAAGACAGAACTGTAGCTACTCAATATCTGTATCCAAGCACAAACATGCAAGCACAGCCTCATTAAGAAGTAGCATATGCTTTGTTTGCATGCATTAGTCTTAATTGCATGCAGTTTTGAAGCACATCCTGTTGTACTGGGTTCAAAACAATGAGATTTGTTCATTGGGTCATTCTACAATTGTGTTGGCAGATGCTTTTGCTTTTGGACAACAAAATGTCAATCTGCTATATACACTGTTCCTATAGAAAACCATTTTAGAAAATTATAGATTTTTTTTTTTTTGATGGGGGGGGGGGGGGGGGAATAGAGAAATACCAGATTATTTTACATTTTAAATGGTTAAAGGTTTTTGCTGTCATGCTGATAAAATGTATAGTATAATTAATCATGAAATGTCAGTGGCATTACTGTCAATAATTTTAATGGTTCCTATTAGCTTTAAAATTAGTGTAAATCAACCTGAAAGAATGCATGGCATGTTTAAAGTAAGAACTTTAATGTATTAATCGCTTTTTTATTGCCAATGCGTGAACAGCTTATAAGGAAACTTTAAAAAACGTCTCAGCTAACACACGTAACCATGGTTCCCTGAGAAGGGGAACGAGACACTGCGTCCTCTAGAGGACACTATGGGGAACGCCTCCAGCATGACCGGTGTCTGAAGCATGTTTAAACGTGACAATATCATTGGACTACCGATGTGATCGTGAGTATTAAAGGGCATCTGTATTAGACGTTATCAACTTCTTGGGCATGCCTGTCTACGTCTCCTTTTGACAGATGCATGGGAATGAGAGGCAGTGTCTTGTTCACCTTCTCAGAGAACCATTGTTACATGCTTAACTTGCACTGCATCCTCTAGAGAATTATTTCTCAACCCTGCTCCAACACCGCATCTTTTATTTGCCTCCCTAATCAAACACACCTGATTAAACTCATCAGCTCATTAGAAGAAACTCCAGGACAAAATGTGCAGTGTTGGTCCTCCAGGACCAGGTTTGAGAAACACTGCTCTAGAGGACACTATACCCACTTCACAATGCTGAGGGAATAACTGCCTAATTGTCTGTGACGAGCACAAACAAGATATTTCGGAGTCAGATTCCTTCAGATACTCAGGTCCACAGAACTGTCAGTGACACTATTCCCTAAGGCCAGCACCTAAGCTCAAAGCCCTAAGACGGGTAGAGCTCAAAGTTCTGGTAATGCCAAACTTTATGCCAGACATTATCTTTAAGAGAATACTGGCACAGGGAAACAATTCCTTCGCCTGTCACTCACAACCTAAGGGAGCTGTCTTACTTAAAGGACCCGCTATCAGGGGGAAACAGCTTCAACCTTAGTATTGACTCATGAAGGGGCCGGCTGCTTAGAGACCCAACTTCTGAGGAGGCCACCACAGCTTCATTTAATATAAGGGACATGCCTACTTGTTGAACCTTCAATTGCTGTAGTGAGAGGCACCAACCTTATAGGGGGATCTGGTTCAACCCCTCAACACCACAGGGGAGCATTTTATGAGCAAAATGCTCAACCCCGTCTGACCTAGAGTCAGCTTCTCGTAAGGCCAGCACTCCGGAAGGGTGCTCAACCAATAAGAAGAGATGCAAAGCTAAGGTGAAACCACTTCTCACCAGAGCCCAGAGATGGGTTCTCTGGGGAGCTGAGGACTCAGCAGAACGACGCTCTGAGTGAGGGGAGTCCAATGCTCACCCAAGATTTTGATCCCCAATTTTGACTAGGCTAGACCCAGGGACAATAGACCCTAATGAAGAAACCCTTTAAGGGAAGAGTGAACTACGCTCACTAGAGGAAACTAGTAAACGGCTGCAGAGTGTTAGCCTTGCTATAGTCTCCAAAGTCTGCCTGAGCTGGAACAGAGTGTGGAGGACCCAAGAGAAGGTATCCCAGTAACAGGGAGGATTCACTCTACGATAACCCCTGCAGTCTGGGGATCATCTTGAGATCTCTTGTGGGAGCAGAGGACCCAGACCCTGAAGGGCAGCCCCAGGTTCAACCACATTATCAATCCCCAGCTTACACAAGGGAGCTGCCTTCTTAATAACCTGTTATAGGGAAGGCAGGTACGACCTTGCGAATATACTAAAGTTTGCATTCTGCATCTTAGGGTTGACTGCCTGTTGAAGAACCCTTAATAGGGAGGCAGTTTCATCTGGATACATGAAGGAGCCTCCTACTTCGGGGACCCCAATTCTGGGTGACTTCAGGAAGCCACGACTCAACCACAAGGGATCTGCCTGCTTATAAGACCCCAATCAGGGGGAGGCAGCTGCAACCCTGAAACTTCAGCGTAACACAAAAGGGAGCCACCAACGAAATCTTAAAGGAGGCGGTTCCCCCTAGGTTAACATAAGGGAGACTGTGAGTCCTCAAAAGCTGTGACAAGGACCCTGAGAGCCCATAATGGGGAAGGTAGAACTCGTTCTACCAGACTCAAGGGGAGCTTCCGGAAGCTTAAGCAATTTTGGGGAATCCCACATCTTGGTAACACCCAAGGGAGCTTCCTTCTTACTGAACCCAACACTAGGGGGAGGAGGCTACTGCCTTCTTGATATCAAGGAGCTTCCTACTTAAAAATGAACCCCTCAGGGGTGAGGATACTCCATTAAATACCTGTGAAGGAACTGCCTAATTAATGGAACCTAAGTGGTATATTGCTATGACTCGAGAACGGGCCGCCTGCTTAGGGACCCAACCTCTGGAAAGGCAGCTGCAACTTCACGAGACATAAGGGAGCTGCCTACTTAAGGAACCCACCATTAGCAATGAACGTCTCTTCCGTTCATTGACGTGAAAATTAATGCTTAACATGCTCAGGATAATGCTTTAAAGGCCATTATTGATTGTAATATTAATGTGTCTTGCAAAGAAAAGGGATAAATTCAAACAATAGTCTCACATAGCCAGATCTGTAGTATAGTCTGTAGTCTTAAATCAAGAGGAAAGTGTGCAGCACATATTTATCTAAACGTTGCTCTCAGCAGTGTGGTCAGGATGTTTACTAAACATATATCACTGCAAGGGTGTTCCTAACTTCTTTTTACTTCTAAGCGAAGAACGAAAAAGAGCTTCGCCGTGAGTTTATCGGGCCTTGATTTACGTTCAATCTCTTGTATGTTACGTGTGCATGAGTGTGAGCTGGAAATTAGATCACAATTCTAGAATGACCCAATTAAATGGCAGAAAATTCTCTTCAAAATATCACATGGATCATCGAGAGAAATTGTTTTATATAAAAATGTTCAGTTCTCAAACAAACAATGTTCAGTAACACCTGGTCAAACTGTCTTTAATGAAAACAAAAAAGCTACTTACAGCACTTAGCGTGACTCTCGAGATCAAGAGCACAGATGTGCTACTTCTGCTCTACCCTTTATATTTCTGGAAAAAAAAAATACACTAACCAACCTTTACCCCAGCAACCCCAGGAAAAAATAACTCAAACACAGGCACAGAGCTCCGACTTCATTTATTTAACATGACAGTAAGTCAACTTCAAACTCACACCCACGCACACTGCATCTATGCTGTGTTATCCATATAAATCATGCAGAAAACATGCATCAAATTTATGGGATGTATGGGATGGGAATGTTTTTCCATATGGTTAGGATCCAGACATTGTAACAGCACTCTTCCACATTTATGCTCAATTTCGATTTAAAAAAATATTACAAAATTTAACCACTTCGGTAGATTTTTTGGTACATTGACCATGTCTTACTGACGTTATAGTTTAAGCTTAATAATCATGAATGAGAAATTTACTAATTAGCTAAATGACTTGAGATGAACAATAGAAGAAATTCTTGTCCATTTCTTGGTTTTAAAAAGATCTTTGACTGCATGGCTAATGAATTGTTTACAAGTAACAGATATTGTGCGTTTAATCTCAGGTGTGACGAATCTTATTTGTAAAAGTGGCGATAGGTGCCAGTGTTGCTTAGTTAGGACCAGTTTACTTGCTCATGACGCACCCCAAAGGGTTAGACCTTGTGTTAGTTATTATTATTTTTCTTTGGTTTACAGCACTGGCTGGACAGCATGAATTTAGATGGGGTAATAGAAGTCTCCGAATCATATAAACACGGATATTGTTTACCTTTGTTAATTATGAATTCACAGTTTAGAATTGCCTGCATCATGTTTGCATGAGCAGTGTTTTAAAAAGAAATACACTTTTGTAGATTGTTTGTTTTAGAAATGAAGTTTGCCTTAATAGACCATTTATTTGTTATGCCAAATTAACTATATTCTATTGTTGTATTTTTCAATTTATTCCTCTCCTAGTGCAGTGATTCGAGGTTCAACGCGGTTTGTTTTGTGAATGAGACGCATGCAGGTGCTGTTAAACCAGTGTAGTTTGGCGTTAAATGCACTCACAAATAAATAAATTGTAGCACTTTTCAATGAAATAACTTAATTATTTAAAAATACTGTATTGTCAAAAGCTGGAAATGCAATATCCCAAACAAAAAAGCCTACATTTTGACCAAGTCCATATATATAATTGTTCCCATGATAGAACGTATGTGCATGGTTTGCTATATGACTAACCAGAGAAAGTTTGGGGAAACTGAATATCAACATGTTTTCATGTTAAATGAGGAAAGACATACTGTAATGACTATAATGACTATTAATGAATGATGCCCCTTTCTTATTTCATAAATAAACATTCAAATGAAACGCTTGATGATAATGGGTCCAATTCTTTAATCCACTCTTACTTTTCTTACTTTTTTGTATCTTGATTAGACAAATGTCAACATTTGCATTTTTAAACATGTAAGAGCAACATTACAGCTTGAAGAAACAAAGGCAGGTTTGACATATCTTGACACAAAGAATATGATAATAAAATGTGTTTACTCTATGCAGCAAGCCTCCTACAGATCCTGTGCTGCCCTCTACTGTTCATTCAGAGACTCATCATTATTCTTAGTTTCATTATTTTGTAAACTAAATACTGATAATGCTTCATTCTACAATGACTATTATTTGATGATATTAATATCAATAAATCAATGTGTGGCACAATGACAATTATTAATACAACTACAAAAGGAATGTATGTAAAGACAAACTTTGACGATGACTTGACAAACCCTAGTGAAAAAACAAGTGCCCTTAGAACAACACTAAGATAGATAGTGTTTACAACACTGTTTCCAATTAAAAATGGAAGAACTTTTTATGCGTTTTGGCCATTCATTTACAGGACAGCTGCTTTTTGGGGGCCTGCAAACCGCAAAATGGATTCAAAGTGCAAGTTTTTGAAAACGACACCATTAGATTAATAAATTCTGTAGAAGTATTGTTAATTCTTAGTACATGTTTACTTAAGCAGTTAACTTACGTTAACTAATGAAACCTCATTGTAAAGTTTTACCCAAATATATTTAAATACATGACTTGTTTCAATAGAAATTGCTTTGAAGTATAATTTACTATAACTGCTTTTCAGGCGATTGGGTGTGTGGCTGGTTGCTAGCTGGTTACCGGACGGACAGATGGATAAATAAATGATAGAGTAGAATTTTAGGATCTCAGAAGAGGTAGTAGTTTACAGTAAATATTGTATAAATATTCACATTTTGCCAAATCAACATATTTAGCAGCTGTCGCACTATAATAAGCAAAATTCTTGCTAGAATTTAAAATAAATTCTAAATTTTAACTAAAATAATTTATACTATAAAACTGACTATATATAACATATGTTCTACAAAATGTACAGTAATAATTAAAGCTGCCGTCGGCAACATTTTTTTGATCATATTCAGTGAAATCGACACTATAATCCGACAGAATAACATAAATAAAGTGGTTTTAGAAAAAAAACCGAGCTTCTAACTCCACCTGGAGCGTGTTATTTGTTTTGCAAAAATCCACAGCTCCCGGATCATCATGTCCAATCAGCGCAGGGGTGTGTGAGATCTGACTGTCAATCACAGATCGGGCACACGCCACCCCTCGAGCACGTTACAATCACATGCACACGCCTGAAGTTCGCGCAGTAACGAAGAGTGATGATGGATGTATCTCGCTTTCAAAACACTAACAAATCAAGTAAGCTCATTTAGAGTATAAATGATGTTAGCAATTGCAATCTATTGGTAGATTAGCCAGGGCAGCATACCTCCAAATACTCCACGGTGTTGATGGATGCTGATGAGACGGGCGCGTTCACAGATAACCTGGTGCACACGCACTGACGAGCACGAACTCGGTGGGAGGGTATCCGTTGATAGTGGGGGAGGGGCATGAGAATTGTAAACATTCAAAATTTTGCCTAAGTCCACTCAATCTGCCAGACCTGCCGACTGCAGCTTTAATACAAAAATGTGTTTGTTTGAAAGTCTTTAAGATGCAGCTGATGCAAACACCTGTCCTGCAGCTGACTTACTCATCAAACCTGCTAGTCCTCATAGTTTCCCTTGAACCTAATCGAACCATCTTATCTTGTTCCTGCTCAAAAACAGTGTCATTCAGTACCAGTGATGCCATATCACGCACATGGTGCATTTTCCATACCGATGGTCTATACTATTTTTCTATACGATTGTCCTTTCCTTGCTGGTTTGAATATTTCAGATAATGAATGACACTGAGACCTGGGGCCGGTTGCATAAACTGCTAAGACTAGTCTTACAAGTTAATCATCTTTTTTAAACTTTAATACTGTTCATTACTTTTAAAAATATTGATGGGTCTAATTTTATACTGAAAATTAAGACTGATTACCCCTAACTAACTGCTAGTTGGTATAGTTCTTAAGACAGTCTTAATATAATGGCTATGTTTATGCAACTGGCCCCAGATGTCACACTTACACCGACGATCTAACATATAGCTCTCTTTCAGGTCTGTTTGACTGGTTTGATGTAACACAGCTGAGCAAACTTGTCCAACTCACTCAAAGCACTAAATTATTATTTTTGTTGTGTTGATTTTGTTGGATCTACAAGGAGAACATCCTGTGTGTGAGGGACATTCATTGGCGTCTGAATTGTTGGTCCATCCATGAATCTGTGAGGTGGAGAGACAAAATCAGCATTTGTAACAGTTTATTTTTGCAATATGCCATTCTCATTATTGCAATGTAAATCATGAATATTATTTAAATTATAAAGTATTATACATAATGGTAAAATTTGTTGTGCAGGATTTTTATTTTTACATTTTTGTGATACTGGTATATGCAGACTAGATACAGTATTTCTAGATACACACATATAAATGTACACTTACATATTTAAAAAAGAAAAATACTACTTTTATTACTACTTTTGTCTTTTTGTTTTAGGGTGAATTGTGGCCTTATGATTCACCTGAATATTCTGGCAAACAACCAAAAGATACGTTAATCCAATCTTGTCTTATTATTTAAATAAATAAAAATTTGTATGTATAAATTATCATGGGATGTTTTATGGCAAAGCACAACTGTGTGTATGCTAAGTTTCAAACACTTACTCCAGTTTTTCTAGTTTACTGTGTGGATTCTCCTGCAGATCTGAGAGCGGTTTAACTCCTGAATCTGACAGTTTATTTCCTCTGAGATCCAGTGCTTTTAGCTGTGATTGGTTAGAGCTGAGAGCTGATGCCAGAACAGCACATCCCTGTGCCGTAAGCCCACAATATGTAACACTGCAAAGGGTTGTGCAATTATAACAATATTACTTTGAACCACATTTTCTGATCAAGTAAAAACAGACTAAAGTTGTGTGTAGACTATATATCCATCTACCTTTCAACACATTGTTCAATTTGAAAATTAGAGTAACAGTTCACTAACAACAACAAGGTGTAACCTATAATGCATTGTAAATGATCCACATGACACAAGTTACTGTTTATGGCTGTATTTTTGTTTTAAAAAAGCACAAAACAAAACAGATTGCTGCAGCATATTTTCACATCCTTCACTCTCCCTACGAACGCAGAGCTCAGAGAATCCCCAAACATGGGTCTTAAAGTAACATACAGCCAGACCATTACAAAGGGTGGGTAAATGATGGGAGAATCATTATTGGGTTAAAGACAACTTTATTACCTCAGTGACTGCAGTCCTGATAGAAGATGACACACTCCCACTGAAAGCTGCTTTAAACCTGAGTCAAGCAGGTCATTAGCACTGAGGTTCAGCTCTCTCAGACTCGAGTGTTTAGATGTGTCTACATAACCCAACATCTGACAGCTTTCATGAGTTAGATTGCAATTATTCAGCCTGAGAAAAGCATAAAAACAATGAAAAAGTTTTAGATATCCATAGTTTCATTTGTTAATTGTGAGGTGTTCACATGAATCTAGAGGCCTGTTACCATAATCTCTCTAGACGAACACGTGGGTCTTCAAACACAGGGAGCAGATCCCTTACTCCTGAGTCTGTGAGGTTATTAATGCTGAGATCCAGCTCTCTCAGGTGTGAGGGGTTTGACTTTAAAGCAGTTGACAATGCAGAACATCCTATGGCTGTAATTTGACAGTCTGATAGACTGCAAATAGTAAAGGCAAACAAACATGAACTAGTGTCATTTGATACACAGCATGTGACATTATTTCCTTAGAATCAGATTGTTAGCACCGTGTTATTTTTCTGTGGGCTGCGTGTCAATCTACTTGATTAGTCTACTTGATTAATTGTAATACCTCAGTTTCTCAAGCTTGCAGGAAAGGTTCTTTAGGCCAACACAGAGCAGTTCCACTCCTGAATCCTGAAGGTCGTTCAAACTTAAATATAAATGTTTCAGGCTTGTAGAGGATGACTGAAGTACTTGGGCCAGTGCAGCACAGCTTTTTCTCGTCAGTTCACAGCCTATCAACCTAAAAAAAAAACGTCCAGATTATATTTGTAGACTTTACGACATGACTGCTGTTTTTCATCTGCCTACTAGTAAGGGGCTGTTAAGAACTATGCACATAGTATGTGCTGCGTTCGGAAAGAAAAGGGGCTATAGCTATTGTGCCCAATTTCTCATCTGCTGCCCTTTTTAGTGTGGAGTTGATATTGATGTATTACAAAGATACAGACGAAGAGATTCACCACTCGTGTCCTGGTCTTCTCCTGTTGCCTCTTTGGTACTGGGAATACGGAGGTCAGAACAAAATGCTCTCTCCGTGTTTATAGGCAGGGCAATACAGCAACGTGCTGCCCGCTCCTCATCTATCATCCTCTTGGGTATTGGGAGTATGGATGTAATAGCAATGTGCTCCCTCTGTATTCACAATTAATGTATGGATGAAGGGAGTGTGCAATAGTCCCACTTCTTCTTCTATCGCTGTTCTGATTTTGGGAGTATGTAGCATACTATATATAGGCTGTTACAGAAGTGGAAAGCAGGTAGTGATGAATGGGCATGACTGCTAGCAGAGTCCCACTTTCCCATTGTTTAGCCCGTCCGATAAATGCGGAAGTTGCATTTTGTTTCCCCATGTAGTCATGTACGAATTAACTGTACAATAGAGGAGAATGGAGGAGGACTGACGCGCGAGCCTGTCGAGCGCATCCCCTTTTCACAGACGTCAGTGGAAAGTAACAAGCTGTTACAGATGAAGAAGGTGGGCAATCCCGCCACTTACATTTCACTTCATCATCTGTAGCTTTTTGGTTTGGAAATGCGCAAATGGCAGCTATATGAACATTTTACTGAAGACAAAGTTCCCCACACTTCCAAAGGCCAAAGAGAATGAATAAGAGGATCCAGCCTCAAACTAACTTAAGATACAGAAACACTAGTACTTATAGTTTTATGAATAATCAGTTGATGTCATTCCTACAGGTTCTGATAGGTTAACAATACAGATAATTCTAGCAGCATCATCCAAACATGGTATAGAGGGTATACATGGTACGGAGTGACTGCAGTCACGCCCACTGAGTGGCCATCTTGTCTGAAGACACCGTCGTAGACAGGCATAGAGGCGGCCATCTTGCCCAAAGACACAGGCATAGAGGCGGCCATCTTGTCCGAAGACACAGGCGTAGAGACTGCCATCTTGCCGAAGACAGGCGTGGAGGCGGCCATCTTGTCTGAGGACTCTAGAACGGCGGCGGCCACCTTTTCCAAGGATTCACGGGCTGGGGCCGATGTGGGGACTGCCCACACACTCAAAATCGCTGTGGCGACTATGATGAGTGCTCAGGCTCGGCAGGCATGAGGTGAAGAAGCTCATGCTCGGCAGACATGACGTGAAGAAGCTCTGGTGTAGAAACCTCAGGACGGGAAGGTACTGGAACCACAGGACTAGCGACCATTATGGGTAGAGATGCAGGTGACTGTGGTGGGCCAAGCTCCGTGGGCACTGGATCTTGGTGTGTGGTGCCCCTCCCCAAAAAACTTTTAGGGGACATGTCCTCCTTAACCTCACCAACCGTGAAAGAGGAACCACACAAAAGCATCCAAAAATTCAATGAGGGACCCTCGAGGACCATCACGGATGAGCTTAGTCTGGTATTAATCATTGAATCCATAACAAAAGAAGTCAACGAGAGCATAGTCAGGAAGGCCAGAGAAATTTGTAATGTTTAAGAAGTCCCCTCAACACTACCCTCAACATTACAGATGCTGATAGAATAGATAATACATCCTGATGTTAGTGGCATATGTTGATAGATCCAATGGGGATTATGGGGGAAGCATCACCACAGCTGGAGCAAGCAAGGACACATTGCAACAAGCGTATTGCTGTAGCCAATTTAACAGTGTATGGGATCTATTGGGGGAAGCTTACACCCCTAGCAACAGCAACATCTTTTGGCAGGGGAAGCATACACCCTAGAGCAATTATAAATCACCCTAGAGATTCATACATTAATTTCTTATTTAAACAAAATCCTGTCATCCAGCCCTTCCTCTTTCATCCTCATCACCAAAAATGTATTTTAGGTGGACAGATTAATACAGTACAAAGAACATAAAAAAATTAGGATGTTGGAAAATAATTTTGTATTTTCTGTTAACCAAATGCTTTATAATATTCACCAATGCTTCAATGCAAATGAACAAGCGCACCAGTATTTTTTGCGTAGTGACGTGTGTGTTCAACGAGTTGAACATTTGTGCTAAATCTGCGCAGATTTGGCTTAAAAGAACTTCCCCAGTAAAGTGAGTAAACATAATAAGTAAGCTGCCAAATTGGCTGCTTATTTGACAGCGTTATCCGCCACAGTTGATTTTTACCCGCATTTGACAGGTTGGCGGGTGTTCGTTTCAAACCCTGCCACCAAAGCCGAAGTTGTTCTGACTGGCTTGGTGGGCAATGTCAGGGCCTTTAGGGACGATGCTGACTGAGGTAAGAGATAGCTAGCTAGCATCTCCTCCACCTTAGGCATTGCCCCATAACCATGCTCTTTGTGGCCAACTATTGAGGAGGAGTGTGATGTTTGTGCACTGTGAACTCGATAGGGGACCGGTTTCTTCCACAATCTCGACACCTCAGTGTACGTAACCTAGACAGTTTTTAAAGTGAGTAAAACATTTGCCACTACTATTGTACCCAATAGGAAATAATAGTTATATATAAATTAGTGCCCCACCAATTACATAGTAGAACTTACCTTAATGTTTCCAGTTTACAGCTTGTATCTGTCAGCACATCAGAAAGCATTTTCACACTTGTATCGTGTGGATTGTTGTGTGTCAAATCAAGTTCAATTAAGTAAGACGGGTTTGATCTCAAAGCCGAGGCCAAAGAGGCACAGCCTTCTTTACCAATGCTACAATTGAAAAGTCTGCAACAGCAAGAAAAAAAAGAAAAAAATCACAAATGAAATATGTTAGTTGTTTCTCCTAGACAGCAATGTGATAAAATGGAGGACAAATGGAGACTTTTGATGTTCCTTCGGAGTAAAAACCCTTCAATGATAATTTTATTTACATACCACAGCACATCAACAGGTTTTGAGACTCAATGCAATGACGTATAGTTTGTAATCTAGCAATTAGCAAGCAGTTTGCAATTTATGCCATTGTAAATCTCTTCAACATCCTATACCATCAGTTTGAGTCTACTTCCTACCTCAGTCTGTCTAGTTTACACTGAAGATCCCCCAATCCAACAGCAAGTTGGTTTATTCCTGAATCCTGAAGATTGTTAGAACTCAAATCCAGCTGTCTTAGACATGAGAGACTTGAACTAAGAACAGAGGCCAGGCCGGCACAGCTTTTCTCTGTCAAATTACAACACCTCAATCTGAAGGGAAAAGATTCAAAAGATTCACCAACTATATTTGAAATTACATTACAATAAACCCTTAACTGTTTATCTCATCTAAGTCCTAAAACTTGATATGCAAAGGTATGTGAATGTATCAAGTTACATGAGTACTTTCACATGCTACTGCATTCTGAAATGTGTCCAAATACAATTCATAACAATGCAAATATGCACTGTATTCTCAGATTTGCTGCAAGGGTTGCTAGAGTTTTCTTTTGGAAGTCAACTATCATGGCAAAGGAATAATTTGAAGAGAATCTTCCTATGCAAGTTAATTAAAATTAGTTGACATATTTACAATTAGCTATATGAATAATAGTACATCCAGTTTACGTATGTACAACCGGACTGCATGTTTGTAATATGCTAGACAAGAGTACACATCTGTGTTTGCGTACTTGAGTAGAGTGAGATACCTACAGAACTGATCGAGATGCTTTGATTACTGGCAACAGTCTCAACAGTCCCTCATTCGAGGTCATGCTCGGATGAATGAACTTTGCCAAGTCAAAAACATCCAGTTCTTCAGCAGATGTCAGCAATATGTAAGCCAAAGCAGAAAAACGTGAAGGAGACAGCTTTCCACTACAAAAACCCTGTGAATTTATGAATTCCTGCACTTCCTCAACCAGAGAATCATCTTTCAGTTCACTTAGGCAATGGAAAAGACTTATTGCCTTCTCTGCTGAAGGGTGGTCCCTGATTTTTTCCTTGATGTATTGACGTGTTTTCATGTTGCTTTCAGCATCGCTCAGCACCTCAGTCAGCAGCTCCTGAAGAAGGGTCTGATTGGACTCAAGTGACAGTCCCAACAAGAAGCGAAGAAAAAGGTCCAAATGTCCATTGTCACTTGCTAAAGCCTTATCCACAGCACACTTCAGAAATTCATGCATTGATAGTTTTTTTAAAGTACTCATGATTTTAGCATTTGTCGTCTGACTGAAGACATTTCGCTGCTTGTTGACAAACACGAGGAAGGCATACAATGCTGCCAAAAACTCCTGCATACTTGCGTGTACGAAGCTGAAGACCCTCTCCTGAAGCAGTCCTGCCTCTTCTCTAAAAACTTGGGTGCAAACTCCTGAATACACAGATGCAACATTGAGTTCAATGCCACATTCCTTCAAATCTTCCTCATAGAACAATAAGTTACCATTGTCAAGTTGTTTAAAAGCCAGCTTTCCAAGCAACAATGTGGTCTGGTTATCCGACTTAAAACCTTCTTCGGAAATCCCATCGTATTTGTGACTCCCTTGCTTGATCTGGAAAATTAGGAAGTATGCGTACATTTGTGTCAGGGTCCTGGGAATTTCACTACCATCAGAATCCCGAAACATCTTTTCAAGAACTGTAGCTGATATCCAACAGAACACTGGGATGTGGCACATGATGTGAAGGATCTTTGAAGACTTCAAGTGTGAGATTATTCTGGAGGACAGGTCTGGATCACCTATTTTTTTCATGAAGTACTCTTCTTTATGGGAGTCATTGAAACCTCGTACCTCGGTTACTCGGTCAATGAAGTCAGGAGGTATTTGACCTGTTGCAGCTGGTCGTGAAGTTATCCAGACCAAAGCAGAAGGAAGCAAGTTCTTGCAGATGAGGTTTGTCAGTAGGACACCGATTGAGACTGATTCTGTCACACTGGAGCAACTCCTGTTGTTTTGAAAATCCAGAGGAAACCGACATTCATCAAGTCCATCAAAGATGAAGACTATCTTGTATTTGTCTGAATGTAACACTTCTGCGTCTATTTTTAGATTGAAGAAGCGCTGAAGAATGTGTATCAGACTAATTTTCCTTTCTTTAAATCCATTCATTTCACGAAAAGGAAGTGGAAATATCATCTGGACATCCTGGTTGGCTCTCTCCTCAACCCAGTCCAGGGTGAACTTTTTCACGGACACTGTTTTTCCAATGCCAGCAATTCCTTTGGTTAGCACGGTTAGGATTTGTTTAGTAGATCCGGGAAAAGCTTTAAAGATGTCGTTAGCCTTGATTGGTGCATCTATTGTGGCTGGATGTTTAGATGCCAGCTCGATCTGTCTGATTTCATGTTCCCTGCTGTGCTCACTGCTTCCAACATCAGTGATATAGAGCTCTGTATAGAAGTTGTCAAGCAGAGAGGGGCTGCTGTGCTCTTCATTCCCCTCCAAAATGCACTGACACCTGTTCCTCAACATCCTCTTAAGCTTACATGTCCAGATCAGGTCCTCTGTGAAGTTTGACGTAAGATGTAGTTATAATTAAAAAAAATACTAGATCATTTAAAGATTTAAAGATCCACATGAAACCACTGAGATGAATACCATTTAGAACATTTGACCTTAATTCCTTCTGAGTTCTGAAAGAAAAAACAGGTATGTAAACGCAATTAAAAAAAATCATCATGATGTTTAATGTTGCCATGTTTTATTTGTTGATAATGTTAAATAACTTTATATTAAATGTGAAGTGTGTAATTCTTCTAATGTTGCTCATATTCCAGCTTAACTTTGCACAGTAAGTGTTTTTTGTTAATGTTGCACTGGCAGACATCTTGGAATTATACTGACACCTAACAGCATAAATTACACAAAACTAAACATTTCTAGTTCACAATAACATTGAAAAGGAGCTTTATTCACAAGCCATAAATTACACACTCTACCTCTAAATAAATAATACACACCAAAAAACTAATATTTTGCATCATCTGCTGTATACCTGTATGTTATTTCAAATTAGTCCAATCAATACCATTGCTTCCTGCACATTAGAAATTCTGGTGAAGGTTTTTCAGTGAAAAACAACTTAAATATGTGTCTGTTCTACACAAGACTGTACTTACTATATAATAGAGCATAAGAGTCTTATCGACCAACAGAAGGTGTGTAACTAATTTTAATTTTGGGTGAACAATCCCTTTAAACTGATGTCAAACCTTGAGGCACAACGCTTCTCTTTTGCCATGTGAGTGAAGCAGACACACTTTTCTGAAGACTAATATAAATATATGCTTTAAAATGCACCAAAATAATTTGTGTTTACAAACACACTAAATAGTTTATAATTGTTTAACACATTGCTTCACATTAACACATACTTCAGTTCTGTGCGTATTGGTTCTCTTCTGAAGTTGTTAGGATCGTCCATTGACTGCGTTTGATGAATCGGCCTACAGTGAAGAAATTATTTAATGGAGGCAAAATCTTATAACATAATTCATGTTTGAGGCAGTATTCCCATGTTTATTGGGTCTCACCTGTGTTCAGGGATTTCCTTTAACGGGGAAGATTGATTCCCGAGAGACACTTGACTCGGTTCAGCATGTTCGTTTGGTTTGTTCAAACTACAAAAATGAATGAATGAATGAATGAATGAATGTAGTTCAGTGCTAACACTTTAGGTTGGCTGTTGGATGAATGCAGTGCATATATTAAATTAAAAAACAACTCAAACCTTAAAATACCCAAGGCCAGGTCCAGTAAAAAGGTCAGTTAAAGGTCATTGTCACGTTAGTGTAGTTTTTATGGACTTTTAGTTTGTCATGTGTCAGTTGTTCAAGTGTCCCGCCACTCATCAGTTTCCATGGACACTAATCAATCATCACTGCTGTTTGTCATTATGTTCATTACCATTGTGTATTTAAGTTCCTCACCTCATCTCCCTCATTGGTTTTGTTTGTGTGTTTTGCACACATTACGCTGGTGTTTCATCTCTTGGATTAATAAAAAACATTTATATTGTTATTCCTCATCTACCTTCTTCTTCCCTTGGACTAAGCGTGAGAATAATTAAGCAAAACAACCACATTATCATTTTATCCATTAGCCTTCAGTCGCTACACGTGCAAAAACGATTGACAATGTTTGGGCCACTTATTCCACATTTGCTGATGTCTGTTTACACATACTTAAGTTCTGTGCGTATTGGTTCTCTGCTGAAGTTGTGAGGATCATCCATTGGCTGCCCACTTTTCATTGATAAACCGCTTGGCAAAGAGAAGTCAGAGGCCGTGCGATGAATCTGCCTATAATGAAGAAATGATTTGGTCAGAAGCAAAAGCATCCCGTAACCGGGTTTGCAATGATAGAGTAATTAGTACTGAGCTCAACAATGATCTAAGCCTGACTCCATGCATGAGGCGGCCCACTCCATGTAAAATAAACAGCTTTAATTAGGCTACTGAAATGACTTGATCTTATGTAGTATTAACATATTTTTTCATGTAAGCATTGAGTATTGTGTACACAAGCACAATCTTACACTGAATATGCTTTATAGCCCCATTACATTAAAGGTTGTTTAAGGGGATAGTTCACCCAAAAATGAAAATTAGCCCATGATTTACTCACCCTCAAGTCATCATTGACTTGCCATTCACTCTCATTATAAAGCTTGGAAGATCCAGGGCATTTATTAATATAACTCTGATTGTATTCGTCAGAAGGAAGAATATCATACACACCTATGACTTCAGGGTGAGTAAATCATGGGCTAATTTTCATTTTTGGGTGAACTAAAGTGAGATTGAGATTAAGGTGAGTGAGATCGTATTAGTTCGTACGAATTACTTACCAATTCGCCAAAACGCACTACCAAAATGAACTGCCATGAAATTGTGTTGTCCTCTCACAGTCATTATGGCTTCTGAAGATATTTATGGTAGATTTATGGTGCTCAACACTTTCATGCCAATTCATATTTTTTTAAATTGTTGTATGAATTCATATGATCTCGTTCGTGCATTTCTTTGCGATCTGCTTACGTCCTACTGCTGAGAGTTAGGTGCATGCGTGGAAATCATACCAAAACAAATTGGTGCCAATCTAATCACATACAGAGTCGGCAACTTCCTGTCTACTTTTGTAGTATTGACCAGAGCAAACATTCCTCAAAATGTCTCATTTGGTGTTTTACGGAAGAAAATAATTCGAATGGGTTTGGGATGACATGATGGCAAGTGAATGATTATTGATATATAATGAAATTATACTCCTGTATTCCTTTAATTATGCAACATTATTCATATTTGTTGATAATTATAATTATTTAACACATTGCTAACATACTTCAGGTCTGTACGGATTGGTTCTCTACTGAAGTTGATAGGATAACTCATCGATTTCTCAATTTTCATTGACAAACCGCTGAGCAAAGAGAAGTCAGAGTCCTCACGATTAATCAACCTAAAATGAAAAAATGTTTTAAAGGAAACAAAATTGTACTACTTGTTTGAGTCAGTTTCCACAAGCGTATCAGAGATGGGGTCTATGAGCTCACCGGTGTTGAGCGGTTTTCTTCTTCAGTGTTAACAGACCAGACGAAGGCTCGTTTCCCAGTGACACATGACTTGGTCCCGGTGAAGCAGGTTTATTTGGCTTTTTCAAGCTTTAAAAATAAATCCAGAGCTGGCACTTAATGATATGTTTTATGATGTGTTGAATCAAGTGCATATATAAATAGGTGAATAAACATGAAACAGCTCAAACCTTAAAACATCCAGTTCAACCTCAGGCCCTCCGTCTCCACTCATTTCACTGTTGGACTGACTAGTCATGTCTAGTCTAGATTAGCATACAGGTTTCATTTAAACATCCTTTAACCTGCGACAACAGATCTTGGCAGACAAACACGGATGTAGATCACCACTGAAAGAGAAACCAGAGACAGAATCCTTTCACAAAAAGGCTTTTTGCGTGACAACAAATAACATTAAGACTTTGAGAACTGATTGTTGTTTTCATGACACAGATTTGTTCCCACAATGAAATGAGTTTTGGGTTTAGCATTTGTAAAATCAGACATTGTTTAGAAAATGTATTTATGTTTCATTATATATATATATATATATATATATATATATTAGTGCTGGGCAACGATTAAAAAATTAAATCGCGATTAATCGCATGATGTATCGCATTGTTACGCGCAAAATTGAATAATGAATTCTAAAGTAGTGTATTGCGCACTTTTGATTTAAATGTACTGCTACAAAAGTGCAATAACATGTGGTTTGCAAAAACTTTAAACAAATAAGGTGCTTTTATACCAGCAGTAGGCTATTCCCTTTACACAGTATCAATAAAATATTTCTTGTAAATCTCAACTTAAACATTAATGTAATCAAATCAAATATTTAAACAAAGCTATTTGCCACTGCCAGGGCTTTACCTTTTATCTAGCTTGTTAAAAGAGTCCAGTTTTCTTTTTCTTTTTTTTTCTCAACAGGTATCTTGTCGAGTCGATGCTTGTTTGTGTGGGTTATTTGCTGGCTGACCAACATCCCACCCCTCCTGTGATCATGGTTTGACTGTAGCCCTATGTGTATTCAGAGCCAGCGAGCAACGGACTTTCAAAATAATAATAATTAAAAACTGCGTTAACGCGCGATAAAAAAATTGTCGGCATTAATTAATAAATGCGTTAACGCGATAATAAGCACTAATATATATATATATATATATAGTTTTCAACACCTAAAACTAATATATTTTAATGTTTACCTTAGTTGAACATGTGAAAGACATAATTTAACAGTGTTAAAGTATCGTTGATTGTATAAAAATATGTAAAAAAAAAAAAAAAAAATGCATATTATAGTATATAGGTAATCATTATTACCCCGAACACACACAGGTCTGTCTGAGTTTTAAGAGCCATGATACTTTTAAATGTATGTTGTTACAGTATGTTATATAAACTGCATAAATGTATACAAAAATTATAATCATATTGTATACTCACCTCACAATACGGATTTCTGCTTATGAAAATACACACATTTTAGCTCCTGTCGGTTCCCGTTTCTCTGCTCTCCAACTGTTAGTGAGTATGATTTTTCTTGTCACCTTTTTCTTGTTATATAAAATGGAATGCAGCTCTACTACATTTTACCTCATGAACCACGATGAACAAAAGCTTATCTTAAAGGCACAGCCCACAATTAAAGCATTAGCAATGAAAGATCAACTCGCCTTCATGCCTCTTTTGAACTTGTGTGAACTTCCTCCTACAACACTGATATGCCTAATACTATAAATGATGAAGTGTATGTGCCAAAATGTGCAATGTAACACAAAACATCCTGCAATTGTCTCTATTAAATTGGACTGTCAAAATGTAAGAAACTTTTATGTAAACTTCATTTAAAAATACAAAATAAAAATAAAAACATTAGAAAAATGTTTCAAATCATGTACACACACATGAAATGAAGGCTCCAGTCATCAGCAGCAGTGTTGTTACTAACTAAAACTGAAACTATTAAAAAAATAGTTTTCAGTGATTGAAGTTATGCTGAAATAAAATATAAATATTAGATGAAAATCTTAAACTTAAAACTAGAAATGTTGCCTTGGCAGCTAATTGAAATAAGTTGAAGTACTACAATTATTAACACTAACAACTGAAATAAAAATATTTTAATAAAAATAATGAAAACATAACAAAACTGTGATGATGCAGCAAGGAAGAAGCGGAGAGAGAATCCAAATGCAAGCACTTTAATCAAACAAACAGGTAATCCAAAGGAACTCAGGACAGGGACAAGAACAGCAAACAACTTCAACAACCGACAGCCAACAACTGAAACACAGGGGTTTAAATACACAGACAAACAAGCTAAACAAGATAACAAGGGGGCGTGGTTAATTAGAAACACATGGGGAGACTAATCAAAACGGGGAACAGCTGAACATGAAACAAGACACATGGCAGGATAACATGACAAACAGGGAATCACATGACAGACAAGAACAAGGAACAAAACACAAAACCCACACCGTGACATAGCCCCTCCCCTATGGGCGGCTCCCGACGCCCCTTAGTACAAAAAAAACAAAACAAAAAAACCCAAAATAAAATAGTTCAGGAGGGTGGTGAAGCGGAGGTGGTCTTGGGGGAGGGAAGGAGGGTCAAGTCTGTGCAGGGGGCAAGGCAGTTCAGGCGGCCAGGGCGGTGACAGTCCATCGGGCGGCCAGGGCGGAGACGACTCCTCGGGCGGCCAGGGCGGTGAAGACCCCTCGGGCGGCCACGGCGGTGAAGACCCCTCGGGCGGCCACGGCGGAGAAGACCCCTCGGGCGGCCACGGCGGTGAAGACCCCTCGGGCGGCCACGGCGGAGAAGACCCCTCGGGCGGCCACGGCGGAGAAGAACCCTCGGGCGGCCACGGCGGTGAAGACCCTTCGGGCGGCCACGGCGGTGAAGACCCCTCGGGCGGCCATGGTGGAGAGGACCCTTCGGCTGGCCATGGCGGTGCGGCCTTCACAGTCCCATCCAGGGTCCTACTGCAAACATTCACTCTTCACTGCATAAATTATTAAATTAGAGCAGTGAGTGATTTTCTCTTTTTCTTTTGTTCTTTGATTACCATTATTGACAGTTATTAGGCTGCTGTCACTTTAAGACCTGCCGCTCATAATGTAGGTCTGACATGCATCCCATTTTTTCGGACCTCTTTTAAGACTGTGCTTCAACCTAAACTGGCATTTTGGCATACTTTTGTGTGTTTCTGTCCGTTCAAAAGAGTAGAGAACTCAATGCGGTTCTCGTGCGCAGTCTGAAGCAGCTTTCACAGATTCAGATTCATTCTTTATTGTCCTCGATAGAAGAAATTTGTTTTCACAGACTGTACCAGGAGCAACATTCAGCACGCATAATATGCACATACTGCAAAAAATACACATATTGTACACATAAATACACATATTTCTTATGGGGGTAGCTGTCTGTATCTGCGGCCTGAGGGAAGAAGGGTGAAACATGAGTTGAGAGGGTGGCTGGGGTTTTGTATTATGGTGTTCGCTCTACGAATGGTAGCAGTGTCAATGAGAGCCGACATGTTGGGAGTGGGAAGACCAATTATTTTTGAGAAAATGTTAGTGATTTTAAGGAGCTTGTTTCGATTGGTGAGAGAAAGCATGAAAAAGCAGATGGAACAGTACAGGAGGATGGGTTCAATGACACTACGGTACAAGAGAAGCAGGAGGTGTGGTTTGACTGAAAGAACCTTGAGTTTACATATGACAAATAGTCTTTGTTGGCAGCGTCTATGGATGGCTGTGATGTGATAATCAATTTATTATGCCAAATAATGGCAAAGTACCTGCAACTGTCGACAATTTGAACTGACTGGCCATTGATGGGACATGGAGAGTTTTTGGCATGTGTGCAGGATGAGATCCTGACATCAAAATTGTTCAGGTGAACGAGTTGGGGACGGGGTCAGTAGGTGGAGGAGTGCTGGCTTTCGAAATGATTCCAGTGCGTGTTTGCGATTAAATGCATGTTATATTTCTTCTTGAGTTTGAGGTTTAGTTGGTGGGTCATCCGTCGTCTGGAGTTTTGACTAGGATAGCGGTTGTCATACAAAACTTGATGTTTCACTTATTGTCTCAGTTTTTATATCTAGATCGCCATCAAAAAACTCCAGTCTGTGCATGCAAATGACCCCTGGAGTTGTGCAGTTGCGTCCTCTGACCACTGGGGGATGCTGTGAGTGGGTGTTTTTCCCTCTTCAGCATTTGTCTAGATTGCGGAAGCAACAAGGTGATGTTGTGGTCCGCGGAGCCTAATAGGGGATGCACACGAGTGGTATAATCATTGGGTGCTTCTCAATATCCCTCCTCGTCTCCTCGCTCCTCCGTCCTCCATCCTATGACCCGGAAACCAATCGAGCTCAGCCATCTTGAAGGACATCTCAATTCTCTAATTGCACCGCGAGGAGGCGAGGATCGAGGAGCGAGGAGGCTTCCAGAGGAGCTATGAGCGAGGATACACAGGTGTACCCTTTGCGGAAGAGTTTTATCGACTAAACATGACGCACGTATCAATTCTCCTCCCCCTTCACATCTGTCACAATCATTTGAATTTATACTTTACTTTTGTAGTTTACATAAACCACACAACTCACATAACAAGGTCTTGCTTTATTATTATTTATTATGGATTTCTTAAATAAACAAACTTTAACAACATAAGGGCAGATCCTTTGAGCACTGCTGATGACGCTGTGAAGTGACGCTCGAGTGATCAAGTATTCCAATGTATAAAAAAACTTTCATTCGATTCCTCTGTCCTCATTTTCTTTCCTTGCAGCCTTCCCTCGCGTCCTACAGGGGGTGGAGCTGAGACACGAGGAAAGGAAGCGAGGAAAGGAAACGAGGATGCACAAATAAGAAATGAGAAGCGGCGTATGTATGACACGCCAATTCGTATTTCCATTTTTGGCGTGCTATCAACACGCATAATCGCTTTTCAGCGTGTTTATCAACGCCTTGACTTAACGTTACATTACTGTATATATATAAATATATGACCTACCCCAACCCCGTCCCTAAACCTACCCGTCACTGGGGTTAATACCATTTATGAGTCTTCCCCTACCATCCTAGGAAAAAAAATATTGCTCCACAGATGTAGATATTAATTTTGCTTCGTTTCGCTCGGACATTTAACGGCGTACACATACACGCGGAATCACTCGGACGTTTAACGGCGTAGACATACACGCAAAAGATGACGGTTCGTTTCGGCGTGGACATACACGCGGATAGCTCAAAATGCGTATAGATAACACGCCACTTGACTTGAAAGTGGCGTGTATGTTTACGCAAAGTCATGATGTCATGTTGGTTTATATGCTCCCATAACACAAATCCAACACAGTTTCCCTGTGGGGGAATCTACATACTGTTTAAAGGATGGGAGGACACTGTCCCACCTGCAGCTATTAAAATCCCCTAAAATAAACACTGGAGTATCAGGATATTTGCTCAACATAGCATGAACACTCTGGGCTGCTAGCTCAGGTGCCGTGTTGGTATTAGCGCCAGGCAGTAAATAAACACAGCTGGACCTGGAACACGTCCTACCTTCCCCAGCCCCCCTATAGGTTCTCTGTGCACAAGTCATCTGTGTGTCGTTAGACAGCAGATTCACAGATGCGTGCCAGTACCGCACTTAGTTCTCTTTTGTGGCTTGAATGGTTTAAAAGAATTTGCATGAATGAGAGTGCGATCATATAATGCGTTAGTTATGACAGCCCTAGTAAAAAGTAGGGGTTGCACAGTCAACTTTAAAGCACCTCTATTATGCTATTTTAAAGGTTCCTAATTTTGTTTTGGATGTCTCCTACAGCAGGTTTACATGCATCAAATGTCAAAAAACACTTTAACTTTCTCATAATATACATTGCACATCACCACATTTTCGACGGAAACAAAACACCCATTGCCATAACTGAACTTCAGCTCTGGAGGCTTCCTAAAGCTCAGCTATTGCACACACTCTAAAGACAGCAACGATGGCATGATTGATTTTACCATATCAATCAACTAATCGTTCAACCCGAACCTCCATCGCAAGGACGACTTGAGAAGGACATTTCTCGGTGAAACACTACTCAGTTTAAGGAACATTATGAGATGTTGCGTCGGCGTCGTCACGCGCACACACACGCACACACCACCCGCTCGCTGCCAGTGAGTGCAAGCACAAAAAGTAGTCCCGGCCCGCGCGTGTAGCCTACCTGTCAGATACCCCGCCGCCAATCAAATTACGGCGTATCTTGTACTGTCGTCGTCCTGGCCGTTGGAATCGATCCAAATAGCAGCGCAAAGATCCAAATGCAGCGCAAATATCAAAATAGCAGTTCAAATGAGCTTGCTAAATATTGGTGGGGACAAATTTGTCATCTCAAAATATTGATTGGGACTAGTACCTATAGCGTCCCCCCCCTAAACCTACGCCCTTGATACACATCAATAATTAATCATACTTACAGGTTGTGATTCTGAGGAGCAT